ATGATTAATATTGATGATGATGATGATGATGATGATGATGATGATGATGATGATGATGATGGTTGCGATAATGAATGCTGAATAAGGAAAAATACGTAAGAAAATGAAACTGATGGAATTTATTAAACCCGGCGTAGATGAATTAAAGCAATCTCTGCTAATGATGAGAAGAGTCACGACACCTTCTGGCCACGACACACACACGCATACACATACACACACACACATGCACACATGCACAGTTACTCATAGAGCAAATGTTTCGAACGTTAATTGGGCGCAGTGATTTCATTCTGCCTCATCGCCGCCTCTTTTTTCCATTTATCTGTATCCATAGCAACATCCAGCGTCTCTGGCTTCACTGCAAAATAAATAAAGAACAGAAAAAGGAAAAATAGGCTTATTAATTATTTTCCTAGTTAGACGTTTTTATCAAATAGAAATGTTGCTCAGGTGATAGAGAATATTGCTTGTTTCTGGCAATTTAGGGCCTGTTCAGGGTCAAAGATTAAACATGGTAGTAGAAGGGATACTCTTGATAGAAATACACTGCGAGACAATCAAATATGATGATGATGATGATGATGATGATGATGATGATGATGGTTGCGATAATGAATGCTGAATAAGGAAAAATACGTAAGAAAATGAAACTGATGGAATTTATTAAACCCGGCGTAGATGAATTAAAGCAATCTCTGCTAATGATGAGAAGAGTCACGACACCTTCTGGCCACGACACACACACGCATACACATACACACACACACATGCACACATGCACAGTTACTCATAGAGCAAATGTTTCGAACGTTAATTGGGCGCAGTGATTTCATTCTGCCTCATCGCCGCCTCTTTTTTTTCCATTTATCTGTATCCATAGCAACATCCAGCGTCTCTGGCTTCACTGCAAAAATAAATAAAGAACAGAAAAGGAAAAATAGGCTTATTAATTATTTTCCTAGTTAGACGTTTTTATCAAATAGAAATGTTGCTCAGGTGATAGAGAATATTGCTTGTTTCTGGCAATTTAGGGCCTGTTCAGGGTCAAAGATTAAACATGGTAGTAGAAGGGATACTCTTGATAGAAATACACTGCGAGACAATCAAAATATGATGATGATGATGATGATGATGATGATGATGATGATGGTTGCGATAATGAATGCTGAATAAGGAAAAATACGTAAGAAAATGAAACTGATGGAATTTATTAAACCCGGCGTAGATGAATTAAAGCAATCTCTGCTAATGATGAGAAGAGTCACGAAAAGAAAGGAGATCTTTTCTATCGGGCTGCTTTTGAGAATAGACACTTGATAAAAGCGAAAAACATTCAAATAACAGCAAAAGAATCCTTTTGAAACAAGAGAACATTTATTCATGTTCAGTTTTGTGTTAAGACATTTATAACAATTTCAGCTCACATTTAAGCAAAGGCATAAAATGCTATGGAAACATTTTAAAGATCAAATAATAAATAGGAGTAAATAGATACGCCTATCGACCGGTTCACTCTCCTCCCAGAATAGAAGTTTTATGCCTTGTTTCTTGTCTAGAATGGGTTTCTAATTGCTTTAAAGTCTTTCCATTCTCTTTCACTCCCAGTAGCCTTTTGTATCTTTATGGGGGCGTTAAAATGTTCTAAGCCTCACTCAGAAGGATTTGGAGAAACAAGACAGTTTTTCATTATTTTTCAGTATAGACCCCCTTGACATCAAGGTCCAAGGATGCTTAAGCATTGCAATCCCATTACGGAAGAAGGTGGCGTCCTCGTCCTCCAGAAACGTCTCCATATCACATATGATCTCATCATTGTTTCCAAAATGGCAACGAAGGTGGAATTTGAGTTTAGGAAACATGAACAAGTCAGATAGGGGTAGTCTGATGAGTAAGGGGGATGGGGTAGCAATTCAAAGTCATAATTGGCTGCTTCAGCTACTGCAACCTGAGCAGTCTGAACGAACGCGTTATCCTAGAGCAAGAGCACACCTGCCGTCAGCTTACCTCTGCGTTTCAACTTGATTGTTTCCTTTAGTTTTTTTTAATTCTGATGCATAGTACTGTCCATAGTTTCCCCCTTTTCAGGTAGTCTATCATGATTACGCATTCAGAATCCAAAAAAACAGAAGCCAACACCTTTGCCAATTGACAATGCCTGCTTGAACTTCTTCGATATGGAGAACCAGAGTGATTCCATTCTTTGCTTTTAATTTTTAATTCAGGTTCGAAGTGGTGAACTCAGGTTTAATCTTGAATTACAAATCTGCGGTAGAAATTCTCATGGTCAGCCTGGAAACGAGTCAGAAGTGTCCTGAAAATAAAATGAAATAAAATTCTTTTATTATTTTATAACTTAAATTTATTCTTATAAGATAAGATTTATAAGATTTATAATTAAAAGATATATAATTATAAGAGAACGAATATTTTCTATGAAAATTTCTCGAGCATTCAGGCCGGTATATGTCGTTAATACTGTTTATTATAAACAGAGCATTTACTTAAATATTTGTATCTATAAAAAGAACGTATAAACATAAAAATGTTTATAAACCACATAAAAATGTCTTAAAATAATTGTCGGACTGTGTCCATTTCATAATATGTGATGTCATTTGTTTACATTTGGATACGCATCGAGCAGATATGAATGTACGATAGAAAATCATGGAGAATTGTACTTTAAAAACAGTAAAATCGACCTTGCTAACCGAAACTCTCCTCTGTGACTAAATCAGTAAATCACGTCAGGCTATATGACGGTTCCGTATAGGATACAGGTTCGATTCCTGTCGGAGGACGTATATATAATTATAATATGCTTGATTTTTCTATCGGGGTTTTCTTTCCTTGAGCTGATCATGTGTTCTACTGCTAAGGTGTTCCATCTACCCGTGTTTAGGAATTTAGATTTTTGCTTCTACTAGACTGGTTGCCAACCAAAGCTATCAACCATACTATTTAAGCCATAGCTAGAGAAAAGGCAAGAAATGGAAACATAGTATTCACATGGGTATTTGCACAAAAATGAATTTAACGAGCGTGACTGGAATTCAAACTCGGCTCGCCGTTTTCTCGCCTCGTACTGCCATCTATTCCTGTATCCGAAGAAATGCCAACTGCTATTTTAATGGCAATTAACCAAATATGTGTCTCAGATGTCTACGTATTTTTAGACAGAAATTAAAAAAAAATGAAGGTGCAGGGTAGAAAAACAGACAAAAATTCCCTTGTGAATATATTTAAATTAAAATCATCAGAAAAAGACTAATTTTAATTAAACTTTGTCTAGTAAGATACATCATAAAAGTTTAAAAGCAATTTAGAATCACTATTAACAAGCTGTAGCTGGTTGGCTAATACTGAGTGTGATTCTCACTGGATGACTCATACCTGTGACCTCGTGCCAAAACGAAGCTTAATATATGACGTGGGTACCCTGGCGTGGGGTACTTGATAGCGAGCCAGTCCGATTGACGATTACTACTGAATAGTGAGTTTGATCCTCGGTGTATATCTCATGCTTGTGGTCTTTGACTAAATTGAACTCAATATAAGAAGAAAGTGCCCTGGTCGGTGGAGAGGTAATGGTTACCAGTCTGATTGACGATTACTACGGAGTAATAAATTCGATACTCGATGTGTGTCTCATGCCTGTAGCCTCGTGCGAAACTAAACTAAGCTTGATATTAAAAGTGTGAGTCGGAATAGAGTAATGGTGAGCGCGCTAGTCGGTTTGATCCTTATTACCGAGCTGTGAGTTCGATCCTCACTGCGGGTCGCATATTTGTGGCCATGAGCCAAACTATGTTAAGTGCAGCAAGCAATATCGAAATTGATGACCTTACCGTAAATGCTAATATACGGCCACCTCACTACCTTTTTTTCAATCATTTCACCCCAAATCAAGGCGATAATGCTACTAAGACGCGAGGATTTACTGGGAATGGAAGACAACGAGAAGACTTTAGTGAGAAGAAAGGACAATAAAAGCACGGATGAGGATTGACGTTATATTTATATTTTTTCCGATTTTCAGGTGGCAGGAAAGCAAGAAATCGGAATAGAGTTTCACAGTCAAGAAGTGTGAGAGAAGAAACTATTAGAATAGAACTTACGGTTACATCTAGCTAGTTCAACATTAAAACGATGGGACCTAGTTGCCAATCTAGTAGTACAATTAAATTCATACGGTAAATGCATCAAGGGGAATAACTCATTAGATCAACTGCCGTGAAAATATTTATAGAAATGACAGAGAAAAGCCACGTCTATGCGGTAGGAAAGTAACTGAAGTCGAGATGCCGGATCAGGACCGATAACATTACAGACTCTTAGGATTTTGTCGAGAACTTATTACACCACGCCGTAAAACAATTCGATTACAGAAATCCTACTAAAGCTGTTTTATGTAAAAATGAAGCAGGAGACAGTCAAATTGGATGATCATGCCAGTCCAATCTTATTCGTGGAAAAGACCAGCCTGCCTTAAAAATCAGTATTCGAATTTATTTTTTTTTATTTTTGCCGGTTTTCGAACACGACCTCTGACGATATTCAGTCACCCCCACCTACAAGGGCGTCATGTGGCACAAGGCCTTTTTATCGTGTGCTCTCCGAGCCCGTGGGCTCGGCCAAAAATATGCCCATTGAACCCGTATAAACGGGTTCAGGGTCGGTTTACCTCCCCGAAAGAGAATCCGCTCTTCGGCGTAGCCTCTTTCGGGTTCCTCCCCGCCCGAAGGCAGAGAGTTCAACCGATCTGTCGTTCAAGAGTTGAGCGACTGACCACGAACACGACCTCTGACACAAACATTTACTAAACTTGGATTAGTATGGAAGAATGCCACATGTATGGGCGCTGAAGGAGGACCAAATTCAATTCAATCGTTTTTGCAAGAATAGCTTGTTAACCACTATCCCCCACCACACCCCACCGGGGCGAGAGACTGGATTGTTTTCTTTTTTTATTAATATGTCACCTTTGTTCTTTGTAGGGAGCCGTCCATTGCAAAGTAAGGGCACCGTAGTGTCGGTGCAACGTGTGCAGGAATTGAAACCGCATCAATGGGGTTACGAGATAACCAGTATCGAAGAGAAGAAAGTGGCCATGCGCGTCAGTTCTGCCTCTGACAGCATTGTTGGCCGCTATCAGCTGTTCGTCGATACGACCCATCGAAATCCTCAGGGCGAAATCGATAAGTATCGATATAAAAACCCCGACGATGTCTACATACTGTTCAATCCATGGTGTCGAGGTAAGAGATCGCGGAAATTAACATTTTTCTTCTCACTGTTTTTTTTTTTTTGTCTTCCCCTCCTTCTAATCGATTACGTTTTGATGAGTCTTTCTAACGTTCTTGTTGATTCTTCCGAATCAAATCCTTTATTACCGTTATGCTAGTGTGAAGAAAGAATTATTCTTTGCTGCCTCTTAGTTATTTGCCTGTCTTTGCTAACATTATCTAATTTGTTTGCTTTTGCTTCCATTTACTTATTTGCTTGCCTTTACCGCCATTTTCTTATTCGCTTATCTTTGCTGACATTGTCTACTTTGCTTGCCTTTGCTGGCATTTTCTTTCTGTCCTTACAGCCATTTTGTTATTTGTTTGTCTTTGCTGACATTGTCTAATTTGCTTGGTTTTGCTGCCATTTACTAATTTGCTTGACTTTGCTGATATTTATTTATTTGTTTGCTTTTAACACCATTTAGTTATTTGCTTATCTTTGCTGACGTTGACTAATTTGTTTGCCCTAGTTGACATTTACTGTTTTGTCTTTACCGCCATTTTGTTATTTGTTTGCCTTTGCTGGCATTGTCTAATTTGCTTGACTTTGCTGACATTTACTTATTTGCTTGACTTTGCTGATATTTATTTGGTCGGCTTTATAACCAATTAGCTATTTTCTTATCTTTGCTGATATTATCTAATTTGTTTGTCTTTGCTGATATATATTATTTTGTCTTTACCGCCATTTTGCTATTTGTTTGCCTTTGCTGACATTAACTGATTTCCTAGACTTTGCTAACATTAACATATTTGATTGTCTTTGCTTGGTTTTTGATGACATTTACTTATTTGTATTTAAAGTCATTTACTTACTTCTTTGTCTTTGCTGATAATTACTAATTTGCTTGTCTTTGCTGTTTTTTTATTTCTTTATTTGCATGTATTTGTAGAAATTATCTAATTAGCTTCTCTTTCCTGACAAATACTCATTTGCTTCACTTTACACACGGTTACATTTAATACTTCACGCTGTTTACTTATTCTTATTTGAATTCTGCAATGAATATTTTCACGCTATTTACATTATTGGGACTATTGTCCTCATTTTTGTCGCCATATTTATTACAACTTTTCGGCCGTTGTACGCTCCGGCCTTCTTCAGGTGGTTGGAATGTCGAACCGAACCATTTATTTCTACTGGGTTAGACGCGTTCACGCGCCTAATGGATGCCAGTTATCTCTTGTTAATTCCGCTCTCCAAGTTCTCCACCGCCTTAACCAGGTATTGAACTCTTTGGATAACTGACAACTGACATCCATTAGACATGGCACGTGGAACTAGAACAGTCTACCCTAGTGAGCGAAAAAAAGGGGTGCAGTTCGACATTCCAACCACCCGAAGAAGGCCGGAGCGTACAACGGCCGAAACGTTGTAATAAATATGTCGACAATGATGAGGACAATAGTCCGAAAAATGTAAATAGTGTACCTAATACCTCATCTCAGAAATATAGACAGATACTGAATATTTTCACTTGTAATTTTTGACGATGTTTTTATTATTTTTGCTTCTCATCACTCATTTCTTCGATCATTAAAAGTAACAAGAAATAAAGAAGTGGGTTTCGACCCGTATACCATTTCCCAAACCCCGCTATTTCATGGACAATCAATGTCTCAAAGAATTCGTGTAGATTTCGAGTCGGAATGGGGCAATATAACCACAAAATTTAATCCATAATCTTCCTGTTTAGGCTTCTTGTTTAGCAGTAGTCGGCCACTAAAGTGAAGCTCCTGGGAAAAATCAAGCGACTTGTTCAGTTATGCTTTCTCTTCTTCTTAAAGCAATGCAAGACGGGAGTGCCACTAGCACGCAAGGGGTTACAGAGGATTGAGAACAAGAGTAAAGAGGCATGTTTGGAGAAAGGATACAGAAAAGGACGGGGAACAAGCTCAGGGTGTCAGATGTCGATTGGCATTACACTTGAATATTTGAAGATTATAGTCATCGGTGAGGCAAGTAAGGGGAAGGGAGTTCCACAGATGGGAAGTGCGGGAGAAGAAGCTGTTTGAGTAGAAGAGACGGTTACATTTAACTGTTTCGACAGTGAAAGGGTGGGACCGAGATGCCAAACTAGTTGCTCGCCTAAATTCATGTAGTCCGGGAACCAGCGAAAGTAGCTCGTCGGAACAGTTGCAAAATACTTCACGCTGTTTAGTTTTACGGTCAGGTGGTTTTGATAAGATTAGCCGTAATTTGATGGAAAGACGAGCCAAATATCAAGATGGAAAATATTTTGAATTTAAAATAATTTCAAAAGATGCAGATAATTAAACGGATTTTGTAGTGCACTTTTCAACCTGTTTCAATATCCGATTGATATAGAAACAAAAATGACACTTAACATAAGAGAGACACAAGGGAGATTTTTACGGCACATAATGAGGAAAGGGGGCTTGTAAAGTTTGATACTCACATGACATATTCAAGGCAAGTGCGACAGAGAAAAACAAAGCGAGCTTGAGTATATGGACAGCAGAACAGGGTTTAGAAAAGATAACAAAAAGCAAAATAATTATTAAAAGCTACAAAGGACAGGAAATCGTGGAGAGCCATGATCGCCGAGACACGGCACATAGAAGAAAGCAATCACGCTGAAAATGGTGGCATTTTTTGTGGATATTCAGTTGTGATATTTGCCGTTAATGTTTATTTCTAAGTCTCGAAATGATATTTCTTGATATGTCATGTTAAAAAGATTTTCATCTCAATCGACGAATGATAAGTCAAGCACAAATGAAGTGAAATCTTCCATCATCTTTATATTGTGTAGTGGACTTCATGATTATTTCATATAAATAAAAAAAAGCAAGGAATTAGTATTAGAATGACTTCACAAACCCGTTTCGATCATTTTCGAATACAAATGACATACAGCATAGAAAGAATATCCGGAAGGGTCCGAAAAGCGAACACGAAGCAGGTCAGTCATTTATGTGCCATGCGGGATACACGCTTAGGCGATCATGTATCTTTTGATACATGACTGACGGGGCAGATTTTTTTCCCGCGGTAGGCTTCCATTTCTTTCTGCGGTAGAGTAGTTGCCATCTAAGGCTATAGAACCCGGTCTGCCCTGCTATTTACCCATAGCTGGGTAGAGAAGAAGAGGATTCATACCTTTTCCAAGGGTATTTGTGAGTAAGTGAGTATTACGAACCCAACCGAAATTAGAACTCGGCTCTCCAATTAACAAGTCATTATCCGTTGCATCACCCGCACATCCAAGTTTACAGCACCTGGTATCCTGGTATACCCAAACAGTCATCCATCTAGGTACTGACCAGTCTCGATGTTGCTTAACTTTGGCGATCGTACAGAAACTTGGGTCATATTGAAAATCATCGGAGAGTAGTGTTTCTCAACGTAATAAACTTTTTTTTCATTATTAATATATTAAGGCGTTCGGAAAGTAATTACATTTTACTAGAAAAAATATATAAAAGAAACAAATATTTTGTCAGTTATGTGCCATGCGGGATACACGCTTAGACACATGACTGACGATGGAGATTATTCCCGCGGTAGGCTACCATTTCTTTCCGCGGTAGAGTAGTTGCCATCCAAGGCTATAGAACCCGGTCTGTCCTGCTATTTACCCATAACTGGGAGAGAGAAGAAGAGGATTCATACCTTTCCCAAGGGTATTAGCACGTAAGTGAATGTAATGGATTCGAATGAAATTCCTCAGTCCGAGCCGCTATCCATTACTCCACCGTAATTTCAATTGTGCAGCTGGACAATCGAAGATGGCAGCCATGTTTTGTGAAAAGCGGTGTTTATCATAGGAGTGTTTAAGAATATTTCTCACGATCGAATCGATAGATCTGGAATTTAGTTGTGATGATTTGAAGTATATTTGATAGTATTCACAAGTCTGGTATTACATCTACTAGCGGGAAGTTTTGTCTATATTTCTGAGGTGAAGTAACTATTTACGTTATTTACTTTGTTCGGAATGTTGTCTTCATCTTTATTGCCATATTCACGACGTTTCGGCCGTTGTGAGCTCCAACCTTCTTCAGGTGAAATACGTTGGAATTTCGAATCGAACCCTTTATTTCGTCCACCGGAGGTAGATTGTTCTAGATCCATATCTTTTTTGGATAACTCAACTTTTTTTGTTCACCTCTACCGTGGACGGGTATTGAACTCACGACTCTTTGAGTCAGCTTACTGGATTACTTCAACCAACGCTTTTATCCACTGGGCCATGAAACTGAAACATCCAGAAAAGGCATGGCACGTGGAACTAGAACAGTCTAAGAAACGTCGTGAATATGACGAAGATGAGGATAACACTTCGAATAATAGTGAAAATAACGCGAAGTTGTTTACTCTTTTTACATTCTCCCAGGCAATGCAAATTATATCATCGTAGTAATATTTTAGAGATATTCAAACTTTCGTTTTCTAACATTACTGCAGACATTTACGCTACCTTAATTAAGCGGTGGACATGCGTTTTAGTCCTTAGAATTGATATTCTTCCTTTCTTAATTAAAGATCACCTGAATGTCTGTGGCAATCACAACGAAGATGAAGGCAATAATCCGAAAAAAAAATCGGTGTATAATAATAATTTCTCATGTCAAAAATTCAGCGAAAATTATACTAAGGTTACTTTCAAACGATTTTCAATGTCATTAAAATAACAGTTTTAACCAACCAGTGATTGTTACAATGAAACACAGTTAATACTTCTTTCCTTCTGTAGCCGACGCTGTGTTCCTGGAAGACGAAGACGAACGACAACATCATGTACTAAGTGAAACTGGGAGAATTTGGTTGGGGACTGTTGGAAAATTCTGTGTTCGTCCTTGGAACTTTGCGCAAGTACGTTCATGTTGGTTTTTCTTCCTTTGAGCCGACGATACGGATAGCAAGAGCACAGTCACAACCAGATTGCTCTTTATGCCTTAATTTATCTCTCGCTCACCCCACTCACTCACTCACTCACTCATTCATCTATCTATCTATCTATCTATCTATCTATCTATCTATCTATCTATCACACACACGCACACATATATATATACATACATATACATATATATATATATATATATATATATATATATATATATATATATATATATATATATCATTCTGCTCATGTCTATCTATCTATTTGTCTGTCTTATTCTGCTTATATCTATCTATCTCATTCTGTTCGTATCTATCTATATCTATCTATCTATCTATCTATATATATATATATATATATATATATATATAAACACAACACACACACACACACATATATATATATATATATATATATATATATATATATATATATATATATATATACGTGACACGTATCCAATCAAAACATCCTACTGCATTTTACTTTTACAAAATATAGCGTCGAGAATTTTTGTCACGCATATTTAAATGGTATCTGTTACTTCATTACACGTGTCACAACATACCATTAATCTGTGTCGCTTTGTTTTTTTTATCATTTTTTATCATTTCTATCTTGATCTCTGACGAAGCTTTAATAAAGTGAAACGTGTCAGATTAAAATCCATTTCCTACTTGTTCCTTTTCCTATCATATATATATATATATATATATATATATATATATATATATATGTGTGTGTGTGTGTGTGTGTGTGTGTGTGTGTTTGTTATGGTGAAACACACCTATTCTATAGTTAATAGACTCTCCCACCTAATATAAATAGGAGTTTCGTCCGGGGAGGTAGACAGAACCGATCCCGTTTATGCCGGGTCTACGGTGATTTTTTGGCCGAGCCTACGGGTTCGGGAACCCCACAGTAAATTCGGGCTTGTGCCACATGTGACTGCGTGGGGCAGTTACTAAATAGATTCGATGTCGGACGACAGTCGAACTCTCTGCCTTCGGGCAGTGAGGAACACAGACGAGGTTATGCCGAAGGGCAGAGTTTCGTCCAGGGAGGTAGGCAGACCCGATCCCGTTTATGCGGGGTCTACTGTGATTTTTTGGCCGAGCGTACGGACTCGGGAACCCCACATTAAATTCGGCCTTGTGCTACATGTGACTGCGTGGGGCAGTTATTAATAGCGTCGATGTCGGACGACAGTAGTCGACAGTCGAATACAAAAGTAGTCTGCGACCACAACAAGACTACTCTGCGTAATACCTATTATATCAAGTTCCTAACGTTTGGTACGTCGAACTATTCAGGACCGATTTAGTACAAATACAACCTCCACTGCGAAAATAACTCCACAACAATATATATACCTCTGTCTATCATAGTAAAGCTTAAATATAACTTAATAAAATTATAATTTAAATTAGATTAGCATCGTTTAGAAACATTACAAATTACATTTTGATCAATTTAAATATTTTATTGTCAAATGCCATGCGTTTCGGTTGAAAGATGCTTAAAAGTTGTTACTTTTTTGTGATAGCTTACCATCGTGTGAATCAGACTTATAAAACTTATACTCTCTTCCTAGTACTCCTTGTTATATTCATATAGGAAAACGATATATACATTTTTTTATATATCCCGAACAATTTTAGTGGTGGGGGGGAGTATGAAAAAGTGGAAAAGGTTTTCGTGTGACGCGTTTCGCCCTTTAGGACTTCATCGAACTAAGTATATATTTACGTTGATACGACTACACATGCGCACGAACGAAACGCTGAGTTGATATATGTTTGGTGAGAAGTTGATATATGTATATATAATCTAGCCGATTTCGTATAGATTCTTTTCTTTGTGTTTCCATCACTTTTGTTATTAAATATAAATTATATATATATATATATATATATATAATATGAATATATATAAATTAAATATTTATATTAAATACATACATATATATATATATATATATATATATATTGTGATAATATAAATATATATAAATTAAATAAATATATATATATATTGTGATAATATAAATATATATAAATTAAATATTTATATTGTGATATTAGAAGATCTGGGAAGAATCTATTTGCTCGAGTTTTAGCTTGGAAACCAAAGCTGACGACTGAAGAAGAAATGTTCTTCAAAATATGAATCGGTAATATCGAACTGGAATAAAGTTCACTATTTACATTATTCGGACTATTGTCCTTATCTTTGTTGCCATATTTATCACAACGTTTCGGCCGTTGTACGCTCCGGCCTTCTTCAGATGGTTGGAATGTCGAACTGAACTCTTTATTTTGCTCCCTGTGTAGACTGTTCTAGTTCCACGTGCCATGTCTAATGGATATCAGTTATCCTTAAGGACACATGGTACAGTGGATAAAGGCGTTGGTTAGATCCAGTGAGAGGACCAAAAGAGTGTGAGTTCCATATCTAGTTAAGGCAGTGGAAAACATGGAGCAGTGAATTAACAGGAGACAACTGATAACTGACATCCATCAGGATCTTGTAGAGATAGAGCGTGCCAGGAGGCGTCAGGTACTTCCTGGAGCGGTATAAGAAGTTGACCATTTTTCCAAGCTTCCTTACTGATGGATCGTATATATGAGTTCCCTGAATTCTGGAGTGAACTTGGTCCCCAATGGACGCTTAAAGCTTAATTGACAGTACAACCATTCTTTGTGATCGGTGAGAATTTAGTTTCATCTCTATGATAATGAGGCTACAAGCTTGGTTTTTGCAGTACTTAAAAATTACAAGCTATTCCCCCACCCACATTGGGATGCTACAGCGAGATCTGATGAGAGGTCAACTGTTAGGCTCTGGTTGTCTTAATTTTTGGAGGTGCGCTCCCACCCACCCCCATTATGCTTTATTTTAATGTACAGAATAGTAACAAATAATAAATGTATGTCTGCTTTTTTCCCTCCAGTTCGATGATGTGTGTCTTATGGCAGCGTTGGCATTGATGGATAAATCTGAACTTGGTGACCAGGCACGAGGAAGCCCTACGTTGGTGGTTCGAGCCCTGTGCCGAGCAGTAAGTAAAAATAATTTGCTGGCTTTATTTTTGTTGATGCAAACACCGCATTGTAAACTGAAATCTTTTTACGCTAAATCTGTCGATATATAACAAGATGTTATTCATTATTGTTTTTAGCCAATAATAATTTGTATTAGAAGACTGACTGTTAATTCAATCAAACATATCAAAATAATATCGAGTTTTACGCCATACAAAGATTTTATTATTGTTATGATAATTTACCCACGCACGTCCGCTTTCTGATCATGGGATCTTAGTTCGAATCTCGTTTTGTCAGGAAGGTAACTTCTTGATGTTATCCACCTGCATCGGCCAAGGTGAAGCACCGTTGGAAAGTGCCTGAAAAACTACCCCAAGTATTGACCTAAGCCTTGTGAATGAAATTAGGTAAACGGAACTGTTCGAGGATTTTATTGTTTATATATATATATATATATATATATATATATGTGTGTGTGTGTGTGTGTGTGTGTGTGTGTGTGTGTGTGTGTGTGTTGTAACCTAAGAAAGGTTACTGAAAGGTTAATCAAACGAGGGTTGGTAATGAACGATAATACTTAGGACAAGAACAACACATATAGGATTCGCCAACGGCACGTAGAAGAAGTAGTCAACTGCTAGAAGTGAGTCAAGTGAATTCCACAATAAATTTCCAACTGCAGGATATCGACTAACCGCCCCACGCAGTCAGATGTGGCACAAGGACGAATTTAATGTGGGGTATCCGAGCCCCTAGGCTCGGCCAAAAATTCGCCGTAGACCCCGTATAAAACGGGGTCGGGTGGCTGTTTCCTGAGACGACACTCTGCAGCTTCGACATAGCCTCATCTGGGGATCCTCTCTGCCCGGAGGCAGAGAATTTGACCAGCACAACTGGAGACGAATCTCCGACTGCAGACCAACATACAGTATTTACTATTGTATTTATATGAATGTGGACATACACATTATCGTCCGTATGTATACTACAACAATATGTATTTTCAAAATTTGCTATTTCGCCCGGTTCACACTCCTTCTCTGTCTTTTGATTTCCCCTTATTTCCTGAGTTTCCGGTTCCTTCTCCTAAAGTCTTCTAATTTTCTTTAACACCCAGTAATCGTTGCGTTTCAGTGTCATTATGCCTTGCTTGGGGTGATATGATTTTTTTTAAAAATCATCAGGGAAATATCGGCAATAGAGCGGCTATAGATATAGACAGTGTGGACATAGGGATCAACACTGCATGGTAACAATTTCACGATTCAATGCAATTTTTCGACTAAGTGTCACGACTTGTATAAATAGTGGGTGGTATATGAGGAGGCTAAGGGAGTGGGAAAGAAGAACCTGGCCCTCCCCAGTTCATTTTCTTTAGGGTTCATACTGAGTGGTAATTTGTGGTCGTGACCTCTATATCGTTCATTTTTGTGGGTCACGTTATGTTGGTTAATTGAAAGGCATATTGTTGAGTCATTTAATGGCAAAAATAAATATATACAGATCCATTTTATACTAGGGTAAAAAAAAGGTAGATAGATAGATAGATAGATAGATAGATAGATAGATAGATAGATAGATAGATATGGAGAGACTGTGGTAGATAGATATGAACAGACTGAGATAGATATAAAGATATGAACAGGCTGACATAGATATATATGAATAGACAGAGAGAGATATATAGATATGAACAGGCTGACATAGATAGATAGATAGATAGATAGATAGATAGATAGATAGATAGATAGATAGATAGATAGAAACAGACTGTGATAGATAGATAGATAGATAGATAGATAGATAGATAGATAGAAACAGACTGTGATAGATAGATAGATAGATAGATAGATAGATAGATAGATAGATAGATAGATATGAACAGACTGAGATAGATAGATATGAACCGACTGTGATAGATATGGAGAGACTGTGATAGATAGATATGAACAGACTGAGATAGATATAAAGATATGAACAGGCTGACATAGATAGATATGAATAGACTGAGAGAGATATATAGATATGAACAGGCTGACATAGATAGATAGATAGATAGATAGATAGATAGATAGATAGATAGATAGAAACAGACTGTGATAGATAGATAGATAGATAGATAGATAGATAGATAGATAGAAACAGACTGTGATAGATAGATAGATAGATAGATAGATAGATAGATAGATAGATAGATAGATAGAAACAGACTGTGATAGATAGATAGATAGATAGATAGATAGATAGATAGATAGATAGATAGATAGATGATATGAACAGACTGAGATAGATAGATATGAACAGACTGTGATAGATATGGAGAGACTGTGATAGATAGATATGAACAGACTGAGATAGATATAAAGATATGAACAGGCTGACATAGATAGATATGAATAGACTGAGATAGATATATAGATATGAACATGCTGACATAGATAGATAGATAGATAGATAGATAGATAGATAGATAGATAGATAGATAGATAGATAGATAGATAGATGCGAGGTGTTACTTGGAACCGGCTCACTTTCTACAATCAGTATTCTGATATTTGGTCTTTGAAATACTAATTTTCGGAAGAGGACCTGACCGGAAACTTTTCAGCACCCCTTCTTAGCTATGTTCATCTGTTTCTTACAAAGGATAATTTTCCCGTATCTGAATTCGGTTTAACGATTCCCTCTTATCCTGAAATCCATCTCTTGCTAATGGAATTAATACATTTTGTATAGCGCTGCAATAATCGCCATTCGCTTTCACATTTTTCCCTTGAACAATATCCATCAAATGATCCACATGTCATCACTACGGAACCCCATTGTTCCCACAATAATGAACATGTTGATAAGTGTGAATCTGATAACAGCTACCGAGGACTGGACAATAGCCAAACTGAACACTGGATTAAAAGTTTTCGCCAGTAACTTGACGTTGCTACTTTGACGTTAAAATGCCCACAATGCTGAAAGGCTGTGTAACCGATTGCTTAATACTTTGATTCTTCACAACGTTTCGATCATTGTGCCTTCCGGACTTCTTCAGGTGTCTGTCGAAACAGGATGAGCATTAAAAAGAGCAGTACTAAAAAGGCCACAAGGTTAGATATACGTATACATAGACCGCGATCGAGAACGATCCACCCACGTAGATAAAATATTGGATTCAGTTCGAAATCTCCTACAGGTTAACTGGATCGACAGACACCCGAAAACGGCCGGAGAGTACAGTTCACTTTCATATTTACATACGCTTTATCTCTGATATTGAGCACTTTATCCGATAAATATAGCACACCTTAAAACTATATTTCTTCATATATATATATATATATATATATATATATATATATATATATATATATATATATATATATGTAGAAAAATAGGAAAGAACACGTTAGGTAAATAATCCGGAGTTTTTTAGTATTTTGTTTTATTTTTTAAAAAACAGTGCTTCATACACAAGTAGAGCTTAAATTATAATTATATTTAAAAAAATAATTAGTAATATAAAATATTCAAACTGATCCACAAAAAGATCCCAATGTATTTATTATTAAATAAATAGTATAATACAATAAAATCCAAAATTCCCTCATATGGGGTGGGGGAAGATTTTTTTCAACCGACAGAAACTTTATCAGTATTATTCATTAGTTGAAAGAGATCTATCCTCCATATGGTGTTAATGCGATACCATGAATTATCCGGTTCGTGTCATTTATGGAGTATAGTGTGATAGGCGGAATTGTAAGCTTGGCTGGGACTGGTCGTTAAGTGCAGTTTTAGGTCTGTTTTCATTTGATAAAGGAATTATTCGTTGAAATGAGTGGCACAAAGTAAATCTTTACAGGTCAGGTTTATTTTGATCAGGTATATGGGACACTTTCACATGAAGGTGACGATGACACCTGTGAAAATCAGGTTGAATTAGAGTGAGATTACGGAACATGGAAAATGCGATAATGCCACTAAGACACAAGAGGCTACTTGGAGTGAAAGAGAATGAAAAAACTTTAAACCAGGAAACAAGGGATAAACTTCTATTCTTTTCAAAAGACCTAGGGGGAGTATGAACCGGATGATAGACAAATCTATCTACTCCTATTGAGGAAAAAATGAAATCAATAAATAATAAGTAAATATTTTTTTAGAGTTCAGGCGGATATGTTAGATGTATAGACTTTAGAAGGAACCGGAAACTAATCCTAAACAAGAAACAAAGAATAAACCTCTACACCTTTTTAAAAGCCCGGGGTGGGGGTAGTTTTGAACAGAGCGATAAGCAAATCTAGCTACTCCTATTGAGGAGAAAAAATAATTAGTGAATAAAATTTTAGAGTTTGTTGTGGATTCCGAGATGAATTCGGTCTCCAAAGAAGAACAAACGCAATAATTAAATATAAGAAATAAAATGTATTTACACAATCATACAAAGGGTAATACTGTTAGTAGATCCAGGAACACGGTTAGTAGCAAATACAGATAGTTATATACAGTCTCGAAGTAGGACTTCCTTAGAGTCTACGTGCTATGTAACTGACTACAAGCGGTTACCTCACAGTATCTCCGTTCGTATATTCTCTCTCTCTTTCCGACTACCCTCTCATTATCCGACTACTCTCACTGACGGTATTCAGTCACCCCCCACGAGGGTGTCATGTGGCACAAGGCCTTTTTAACGTAGGCATTCCGAGCCCGTGGTCTCGGCCAAAAATATGCCCATTGAACCCGTATAAACGGGTTCAGGGCCGGTTTTACCTCCCCGAAGGAGACTCCGCCCTTCGGCGTAGCCTCCTTCGGGTTCCTCCCGTCCGTAGGAAGAGAGTACAACCGAACAGTCACTCAGAAAGTACTGGGTCGACTGACTGCTCGTTCGACTGACTAACTACTCTCACTGACTGTCTAACTCTGGGTATTTAACGGCAGCCGTCCAAGTAACACTGGTAGAGTCCACATATGAAAAAGGGGTGGACCCCATAACAGAGTTCAGGCCTGGACGTTAGAAGTATAGAGTTGAAGTAGATTTTACAAGGAACCGGAAAACCAATCCTAAACAAGAAACAACGCATAAACTTTTACTCCTGCTCAAAAGACCGAATAGGAATGTGAACCGTGCGCATCATTAGTATGTTGGACTCGTGATGGAAAGCATGAACGCTGTTTTTTATTAATATATTCTTTTGGTATGCTTAAATGAACAGTAGTCATATCTTTATATCTGTGCTTGTATATACGCAATTCATAAACTAGGAAAAGATGAAATAGAGTGGTGTTCTCATTTCCTCCATGTTGTAAACGTCGTTTTATATTTTCCATCTTTCCCCCTTCCTCTGCAGATTAACAACAACGAGCGAGATGGCGGGGTTCTGGTTGGTAACTGGTCTGGTAAATACGACGATGGAATGGCTCCCTACGCTTGGAATGGAAGTGCTGGAATTCTTGAAGAATTCCTCAAAAAAAGGAAAGGTGTCAAGTTTGGTCAATGCTGGACATTCGCGGCCGTTGCTACTACTAGTGAGTCTTCTTAAGCTGTATTCTTTAACTTATATTTCTATAACGTAATTACTGCCACAAATATAAATATATATATATATATATATATATATATATATATATATATATATATATATATATATATATATACTAGCAGCATGGGCCGGCGTTGCCCGTGCTTGATTCAAAAATCGTACGACTCATACAGCAATCGCTATCACTTGACTAAAAATATTTTTGCCCTTCCTTGCCTTTACAGGAGTGCCTTTTGCCGTGCTGATGTTGCTACATGCCTTACTTCTTACCTATCTCACACTGCGAATTTTTTCTAAGCTCTATACTAAACATTAAATCTGTTACGAAAAAAAAAACTAAACAAAATGAACACAAAACGATCCGCTTTAAAAAAAAGGACTCGTAACTGGAAAAACCAAATGAAAAAATAATGTTAACAACAAATACTTTTTTACACCCAACCCAGTTCTGCGGAATCAGAATCAACGTTGAGTTTAAGCAAGCGAATGAGCCAATTGGAGTAAAGTGCCATGCAGATTTAAAATTTTCCCACTTGTGACGAATGCAGCTATCGATTCTTTTTGCATGCTAGCATGCTAGTTAACATTCGTGTCATTCAGATGTTGGCTCTCACGCTCGCCAATAGAATCTTCCTGCCTATTCGTGGCAGCCAGCTATAGGCTCTCACTCTAGCCAGTAGAAAATGGCCGCAAACTACATGAAAACTGGCGTAGAAGCATGAAACAATCGATTATTTCTACTATCGATGGGAGTTGAGAAATGCAAAGTCGGTCTTGGCCTTCCCGCTAATTTGGAGCATGTGCATGTAAATTTTGGTACAAATCCGTCGAAAGTTGCGACCGTACATTCGTTACACACACACACACACACACACACACACACACACACACACACATCCTGCCTTTTATAGATAGAGATAACGTAATTACTGACACATCTGGTATGGTGCTTCTGCTACATACCTTGACATTCTTGACAGAATCTAAAGAATAATCTGCAATGTTATCAGTCCTGATCTGACATCTCGACTTCAGTCACTTTTCCACCTCTGTAACTTCGTTTCCCAGTGCCGTTTCTATAAATATTTCCATACATTTCCTCTCCGATACCTCCGCTTCACGAATTTAAACGCAGTACTTGATTGGCAGATAGAGCTCACAATTTCACTGTTCAAATTGTTCGATGTAACTGCAAGTTCTATGTTAATAGTTTCTTCTCGCGCGCTCCTCGCTTTTGGAGCTCTCTTCCTGCTTCTT